TTAATTAAGATGTTCTGTTTCCAGGATGGGGCTCTTGACTTGCTGAGGGAACTAAAGAGCATCAAGATGTCTCTGGAGACCCTGCAGGTAATGGAAGTCACCCCTTTGGCATTCTGCTGTGAACATATTAAAGGCTGAGTGTCCATATAGTCCCAATGAGTACAGCCCATAAGTGGCCACATGCAGCTGTCCAGAGTAAAATCACACAAACAGCAATAGTTTTATATATCCAACAAGAAGCTTCTAAAGTTGTTGGATTGTAACCAAATATCCCAACAACAACACCTGAATCTAGCATTCAGGGGTTAATGTTGAAGTGTTTCTATGTAAACTATATTACAGATACTGCCTACTACTGACATATACTTAAGAATTTATTCCTACTGAAGAACAGTGATGTAGAGGGCCTTGTTGTGACAGACACATTCTTTTTTTTAGCTGATCGCCAATTCAAGTCCAAACAAGTGTCACAGCTAGTTTGATAAGACTCAGATACTTTTAAATGCATTTTAACAGGAACGCCTTGTTTCCTTCTCTGTCCGTTTGCTTTTTCTCTCTCCTGCTCTGTAGTCGACGAGAGTTGGGATGTCGGTGAACGCGGTGAGGAAACAGAGTTCAGATGAAGAAGTTCAGACTCTGGCCAAAGTGCTCATCAAGTCCTGGAAGAAACTGCTCGGTGGGTGTGTCTGTGTAACAGGTCGTAGGCATGCAAAAGCCTGGAGTGATCTAAAAGCTTCTTTTTTTTTCACATTTCAGCACCAGTCTTTTTCCAACAACTTCACAGAAAGCACAACTAATCAGTGTAATCCAGGGTTGGACAAGATGTTAGCAGGAGCTGAAGTTTAGTTTCTTGCTTCCAGCCGTTTGTTGGAGTTGTTCCTTTGAGGCAAAGGCACGGGATCATTATGAGCGTCTCCAGACAGAGAGAGAGAGCTGTAGCTTATAATTAAATCTTATCCCCAACACGGAAACAGGATTGACTATGTACTTTTCTTCACATTGACCTAGACTGCAGTTAAATATTTTGTAACATAGCAGTTTTTTCTTCTGTTTATTGGTGCATTACTGTGCATGATACAACTTTTGATGTATGGTCCAATTTTACAAAATATGACCGATATTGTCCACCCTTTTGGTGGGTATGTTTGGATTAAATTTTGAGGCCAACATCTGCAATGTTCTGCATCACATGTCTTGAAAACGGCTATAAAAACCTAAACCAGTCTAAGTCTAAAAGCTAGAAATCTGTCGTGTTTTACTTTTACGACTGAGTCAAACGAGGCATCCATGTACTGTATGTGTTTGCGTCTAATCTGACAGACGGTTCGGAGGGGAAGCCTGAAGAGAAGGAGAAGAAGAAGGACGGCTCTCCGGTGAGATCGTCGTCCACCTCCAAGGACTCTGGCAGCAGTGAGAACAGGTCTGTCGCAGGATGAGGTGACTGTTCACATGAGAATTCGTCTTCCATTGTCCATTCATGGTTTCTTTAACAACAGGAAATGATCTGAACCTTGTCTCACTCCAAACTTTACTGCACTTTTTCTTCTTTCTTGCTTCTCATTAGTAAAAAGCCCGGGGAGACCCCCACCACCCCAACAACCCCAACAACCCCGACCACTCCCACCACTCCAACCACTCCCACCCTCGCCCCTCGGTTCACCACCTTCCCCCCGGCCCCCGTCACGACTGACAGCGTGCGAACCAAGTGCCGAGAGCTGCTGGTGGCCGCCCTGCAGACTGACAGTGAGAAGATCTGTTTTGTTGATTAGAAAATGTTGATTAGAGACGGATGTTCTTAGAACGTCCTCCGATGGATAAATGGCAATAAGCAGAATGATTGGCAACTCTACATAAAAACATCACCCTGGGTAGTGGAGCTGCGTAACTTTCTGAACCCCAAGACATTTCTGGGTGTTTTTTTTTTTTGTTTTCCGCTTCCAATATTATTTACCCCTACCACTTTGGAAACAGCAAGACCATGGTAAGAAGTGGGGAGAACTCAGAAATGTATTTTGTGCAGTGAAACGTATTTGAATTTGGAATTGAATTTATTTTATTTAACAAAAGTTGGGAAAAAGAAAAAAGGGAACTCTACATGTTATAGATATTTTATCATTGTGAATTTGTTTTCACACTTGTCTCCTAAACCAGTGGTTCTCAACAGAGGGGTCACGGCCCACTAGGGGGCCACAGAGAGCTGCCATGTGGACCTTGAGATGGCTGTTAAGAAAAATACAAAAAAAACTATTATAAAGACAAAATAACGTGAGAAACCATCTAATTTAAGTGGAATTTTTCATTGGACACAGGAGCCTTGGCAGCACAAAGTTGAGAACCCCTGTCTTAAACGGCAACTGTTTAATTTTCTTTCATAAAACAGCACATATGATTGGTTTCGGGACCAACAGAAAGGTGAAAAATTCACAATTTAGTTTTTACTGGCTCTGATAAATGGTGTCACTTTGATGATTTTCGGTTCTTGACTAAGATGACATTACTGTAGAGTTCAGAGGGTTGACACTAATTTATTCACCCAGTGCTTATGCATGCTTCTTTGCTTTACTTTTCAACAGTGTACAATGTGAACGTGCCGAGGGCTAAACAAAACTGTCTTTTTGTTTCAGACGACCACGAGACGATTGGAGTCGACTGTGAGCACCTCGCGGCACAAATCGAAGAGCATATCCTTTTATGTCATCGACGCTTCTTGCTGGAACTTTACCAGCACGAGATGGACGTGAACAAACAGAGCAGGACTTCACGACTGAGTGAAAGATCTTAATCTAAGTGTACTCACAGGGTGTGTTTCAGTTTGTTAGATAACCGCACGCTGGTCGGCTGGCTCCGCGAAGGCAGCGTTGCTTTGTCCTGAGGGAAATATTTCAGCATTTATGGGAATGATTGCCATTAAATTTGACACAGACATTCATTATCATCAGAGGATTAATCTGGATCACTTTGGTGACCTCAGACTTTCTCATCTTGTACCACCCCAGAGCTGGAACTTGTGCTTGTATGATAGGCTGCTTTTGTAAGGAAATGTCAGCATTTAGCAGTTGTATAAATGCATCATACAAAAGTAATGCAAGACACAGCAGAATCAAAGTACAGTGGAGGGTTGCACGACAGCAAGAGAAGCCTGAGTGACCGAAAATGGTAGAAATACAGAGGTTAAAACTGGCGTGATTAAGATAAGAAAAGTCTTTGATGCCACTATGAGGACATTTTTTTTTTCTGCACAAGTGATAGAGATGAAAGACGAGTGAAGTATTATGCTCATACTTCAAGTTAAACATTCCTCGAGATGGTCTGTCTGTTGCACGGATGCAAACTTTGTCGTTTTCTTGCAAGATTATTAAAAGTTCTCACACTAAAGCAGCATGAAAAATGCCCTCAGAAGGACTGGAAATGGAAATGACCCTTTCAAGGCTTTTCCTTTTTGGACTAGTAGGGCAGCTGTGAGATTGTCGTAGCCAATCCAATCCAATATCTGATTATAATAATATAAGAAATGCAAAAATCCTAAAAAGAAAATAGAGTTCACTTTTTAGTGTCTTCATCGTGCCTAAAATAAAGAGTTCATAGATTGATAGTTGTAAAAAAAAAAGTTTCTAATAGGCTTTGATGATTATTTTTTATGTAAACCATAAAATAACAGATCTTATCTCTTAATTGTCAAGCATGTATAGGCTGCAGTAACCGTTAGAATAACTTTACATAAACTGTCATCATCAGGGCTAAGATGTAATTATCAGCTGATAATTGGAACAACAACAGTAATTTACAACATACTTAATTTGGATCCAGTACATCAACAAAACATTTATATGAAGACATAATTCACCCCAGAGGGAACTCTGAACATGTTCCCAGTTTGCAACACGTTATAAAGACATATGAAGTGCATGTGTGTGTGTGTGTCTCAGCCGGGAGAGTTTCGGCCCCTTGACTGCTTGTTGTGCTCACAGATCTTCCAGGAGTTGAAGTCCACAGACATGAAGTACAAAACTCGTCTACGGAGTCGCATCTCCAACCTGAAGGACCAGAAGAATCCAGACCTGCGCCGGAACGTCCTGTGTGGGAACATCTCGCCTCAGCGCATTGCGTCCATGACGGCTGAGGTCAGTGATTTTGTGTCATTCTTGCTTTTTTCCAAAGAGCTGTTGGAGGATTGGGGTTTGTGTCAAAGTTTACTAGATTCACGTCGTACAGTGTAGCTAGCTGTGAACTTATAAGACTGTTATAATCGCAGCTTGTAGCCGGCCTTAGGTCGTGTTTCCTGCTGCGCTGTTCAGCAGAGCCACTTTCATCAGTGTTTTTTTTTGCACTTTAAGAGAGTTTTTCCGAATTTTCTGGACTCACTGACCTTCATGTCCCAAAGTAATGACGGACTGGTGTTTCTCTGGTTGAGGGGTTCTTGCCATAACATGGATTACCACAGTCACTCAATAGCTCATGGGTCAAATGCAATAGAAGGGAAAAAAAAAATCCTCCAGTTAACTTTTGACAAGGCTCACATGTGGACTGAAAAGGCGACGACCTCATGAAGCTGGTTAACTTATTGCTAATCATGTTCAGAACTGACATCAGCCGTGAGGAATCTGAAATGTGAGACATGTTTTGATGTGAGTGAGTAGGTGACTTTAAACCTGACTGATGCTTTTAATCATGTTGTGACCGGTGTCCCTCTCCATCGTGCACACACCTTGATTTTGATCTCACTTCCCGTTTGAGTTAATCAGAGCCATCAAAGTGGATCGTAAAAGCAAATGTTCTGTGTCTTAAACTCTCTGAACCCTGAGCAGTGTGTGGGTGTCTCCTCCTCCTGCACCTCCATTCAAACAGCTCAACTGTAGCTACTCTGATGTAATGAAGGCCATACAGATGTCTTTGAAGATTCATTGTTCTCCTCAGTCAGAAAACAAGCAAACTCTTAACAAAATCGGGTGGCGCAACACAGCTACCCATATGTTAAAGAATGCATCCAACTTCTGTAAATGCTGGAATGTTGCATGCTTGAATTTAATTGGTGTATTCGAGTAACACATTTGAAATGTTTGGTCGTGCAGGAGATGGCCAGTGCGGAGCTGAAGCAGATGAGAGAGGCTCTGACCAAAGAGTCCATCAGAGAGCATCAGCTGTCGAAGGTGGGAGGAACCGAGACCGACATGTTCATCTGCAACAAGTGTCACGGAAAAAGCTGCACGTACACCCAGGTATGGATGCTCACACAACCAGAACGATGGAAGAGTCCTTCGCTGTTTGTCACCAACACTCTGTCGGTTGTGTTTCAGGTGCAGACCCGCAGCGCCGATGAGCCCATGACCACTTTTGTTTTGTGTAACAGCTGCGGCAACAGATGGAAGGTGAGGAAAGACTATGAACAGCAAACGACTCCATGTCTGACAAATGTTTAAGGCTCAGCGCACAGAAAAAAAAAAATGGAATAAACTAGGCCTGGGTGTACCAGTGATAGACATTTTAATGAACAGCAACACGAAAATTGTTCAGTAATTTCACTTCATTGTGATGAAAGCACAAAAGGCCGCTCCATCTGAAATCAGCACATTTTAAGAACAACTTCTGCTTTACAATCTCTACATGTATATGCTCAATATATATTTATGAGGATATTTGTGAAGTATTAGCTGGATATATCAAATATTTTCAGATTTTTGATCCGTCCACTTTTAGCACGTTTTTCACACATTTGAAATTTCAGGCTCTGTTTGAATGACGATCTCAGGAGCCATTCAAAAATAAAAGCCAGATATTTTAATTTTATTTTTTAAAATTTTAACCCTGTAAAGCCTGAACCGTGAAGTAATTGCCAGAAAATTTACTTTATATATATACATATTTAGGAACTGTTGCCTCGCAGCAAGAAGGTCGCCGGTTCGTGTCCTGGTAGGGGCACCGGGATTTTTTTGCGTGGAGTTTGCATGTTCTCCCCGTGCAGCGTGGGTTCTCTCCGGGTTCTCCGGCTTCCTCCCACACAGTCCAAAAACATGTTGAGGTTAATTGGTGATTCCGTAGGTGTGAATATGAGTGTGCTTGGTTGTCTGTCTCTAAGTGTAGCCCTGTGATAGACTGGTGACCTGTCCAGGGTGTCCCCTGCCTTCACCCTGAGTCAGCTGGGATAGACTCCAGCCCCCCACGACCCTAGTGAGGATTAAGCGGTGTATAGATAATGGATGGATGGATATCTAGATATATACACTTCACTGCTGTCTTGCCAACTACCTCCTTTTGGAGTGTAAACCTGAGAACCTTACCAGAAGAGAAAAGCCTACAAAAACACAGATTTATATGCATTTAAGAAACTATTGAGGCTGTAGAACTTTTACAAACCAAACAATCTGTTTAATAGAAGATGTGAAGCATTTTGCATGGCACGCGTTGTTGAAAGGAACTCTGGGAAACGTAGTAAAAGTCCAAGGAGGAAGAGGAGAGTAGCTTCTGTCCTTGAAGTTCACATAGTTGCAGTAACACACTCTTGCCACAAGATGGCAGCACAGACTGGACCCCGGCATCCTGTCCTTTCTCTCAGCTCCACCTTTATTCTCACCTTCACCAAGAATTCCAGCTTCTGGTTACCTGTTAAAGCTCTCGTATGTTTCTGGCTCCTCCCCAATGTTCTGTTTAGTTTTTCTGTTTCCTTCTTTGCTGCCCTCCCTTCTCCGTTTTTGAAACTCGTCTCCGTTTTCGTCCTTTCCCTCCCCTCTTGTTTACATCGTACACCTCCTCCGCTTGTCCTTTTCACCCTCCCTCCCTTCCGTCTCATCTGTCACCTTTCCTCGCCATATTTACTCCCTTCCTCCCTTTTCCCCCCATAGGTTTTTCCAGTCCTTTCCTCGCTCCCTTATTTAGCTTTTGGCTGTGGGTCAAGGTGAAGCAACTAATTTGAGAAGCTGGTGGCGGTTTGTGGGAAGTCCGTTGTGCTGTCGCAGCACTTTGAGAGAAGCTCTGAAACGTGTGGAGAGAAAGAAATGAACAACATGAAGCTTTGTGACCTCTTCACCCTCAGTTTGAAAACAAGGATCACACAGAAACATGAAATCTGGTGCAGGAGTAAGAAATGGCAAAGAAAGGTGTTTATTTCCTGGAGCAAGCTGAACCAGGACGTTGGCAACCTCATGAAGCTGATTCTGACAGTTTGTTAAGCTGATGTGAAATTCAGTTCAACATTCATTCAGTCACCTTTACTTCTAGTTTGATGCCCAGAGGGGGGAAAAAGTGTCTGAGTGGTTCCCAACTAATTTACTTTAATGTTTATTTTCACAGCTTGCATCAAGTGTGTATGAAGGATGTGCTTTTGCTTTACCTAAGTACAGTCATGACTCGATAATCCGACACTGAATGTAAAACCTTCTTTTATGTTGGATTGTCAAGACGGAGGTCGAGATACAAGGAGGGCTTGATGCTTGAAGAGTCATTTGTTGTTAATTTT